AATCATCCAGTGTTGGTAATGTGCAGTTAAGAAACAGGGCTGGGGATTTAGTTCAGTGGTTCTGCCGCCTGCCTCACAAGCACAAGGACCTGAGTTCAATCCCAGTACAGAAAAAAAGAAAACCAGAAACAATTGAAATGTTTTACTTTCTATATGGATTGCTATTCTTCATCTTTCAGTAGGCTCCAGTCACTTTTTCTTTTTCAAAAGATTTCTCACAGTTTTTATGTAATTTTTCCAGGTGCACTAATCTCTTTCAGTTCCTATTTAATCACAATTGAATTGGGGAAGAAGATAGCCCATCATATTAACGTATTGTCAAGAACTGGAAATTTTTTTTTTTTTTAAATGTGTGTGGTCCTGAGAATTGAACCCAGGGCATTGTGCATGCTAGGCAAGGACTCTACCATTGAGCTACATCCTTAGTCATTTTTTTATTACTTTATGCTGGACATAATTGTACTTGATAGGATCTAATTGTAACTTCATGGAGTGGGTCAATATGCAATATGTTTGCTTTTTTTACAAGCAATATTTACTAGTAAGAATTCTTAGAGAGATATCTTACAAGAATTCAGCAGATATGTTACAGGATGCAATACATTTGGGAAATTTGAATTTTGTGAAAAAATATGCACAGATTGTAGAGTGATTTACTTACTTAACCAGCATAATTTGTCAATCTAATTTGTTATCTGAAAGCTTGTGTGTATGTGTGTGAAATTCATAGTATGATGAGTTTTAAGGGACTCCCAAACTAGAAAGGAATTTAACCAAGTAGCTTCTAGAAATATACTGGAGCAAACAATTTTGCCTTGGTTGGCTTCTGTTTACTTTCTTGATTTCCCTGTGGGTTTTTTTTCTATTTTTGTCTAAAGTCTATAACTGTTATCTGTGAAAATGTCAGTTTTAGGAACCTGTTCCTCCCAGCTAGAAGTGGAAATTCTCAAACAAAAATATTTTTTAAAAATTAAAATTTTAGGTATATAGTAATTCCCCCTTATCCAAGGGGGAAAAGTTCTAAAACCTCTAGAGAATGCTTGAAATCACAGATACTAGTAGTACTAAATCCTATTTATATCATGCTTTTCCTTATATATACTCACTTCCGATAAAGTTTAGTTTAAAAATTAGGAACAATAAGAGGTTAACAATAACTATAATATAGAATAATTATTACAATGTATTAGAATCTGATTATATTGTATTTACCCTTCTTATGATGATGATATGTGATGATACAATGTCCACATGGTGAGATGAGTGAGGTGAGTGACAGAGGCATTGTGACATAGCTTTAAGCTACTGTTAAGGGTTTTTTTTTGAATATATGCACTGCAATACCACAGTCTACGTGATAAAGGAGAAGGCTACTTACTACCTGGTGAGATGATTCACAATTCTAGGCAAGAAGAAGAATGGTATGAGATTTCATTATGCTGTTTAGAATGGTGAGTAACTTAAAACTTGTGAATTGTTTATTTCTAAGTTTTTTCCATTTAATATTTTCAGAATGTGGTTGACTGAAATTGTGGAAAGTGAAACCATAGATGAGGGCAGACTGCTATAGGTAATAAATTAAAAGGCTTATGCGCACTTGATGTTTTAAACGATTGTTTTAGACATTTATTTCCTTATTCTGATCCAAGTAATCTATTAAGTAGCCTTTGTTAAGGTGATAGATACCTACCCACAGGTCAAAACCAGTGTTATTCAAATTGTGGTCCTGCAATCAGTGCGCACATGTGAAAATGTTAATTATCAAGCCATGATGAGATGAGAACAGAATTGGGGCTAAGTGTTTAAAAACATGTATGAATTTTTAGAATATTATTACATCTATTAAATATAATAAAATTGAGGGGCCTTAAATTTTGCATGCTTATGTTTTTCTTAATTTTTATTTTTCTAGTAATTAATTTTTCTTGTATATTAAAAAGTACTGATTAGTGATGGAAATTAAAATCAAGACACTATTTTTTTTCTACAATAGCTTGAGAAATATAGACCTAGATTAAAGGTAAGAAAAACAATTTTGGGGAAGGGCTAAAGTTAATCATATAATGTAAGAGATGTACCTAGACTATAAACAAATTATAGCAAAAATTTCATATGATGTAGGATAGGATGAAATAATGTTATAAAAGGTGGGACAAGTTGGGCATTGTGCTGTGCTCTTATAATCCCAGCACTCTGGGAAGCTGAGGCAGGAGAAGAGCAAGTTTGAGCTCAATCTGGGCAACTTTGCAACTTAGTGACACCCTAATTCTAAAACATTTTTAAAAGGGCTGGGGATGTAGCTCAGTGCAAAGGCCCTGAGTTCAATCTCCAGTATCAGAAAAAAAAAAAAAGACAATTGATGTATAGACAGTGATTTTTCTTGGGTATATGGCATAGCAGCCAACATATCAGAATATAAATTCAGTAATATAACTTTCAGATCACGCTAAAGTATTCTTTGTTTTTCATCCTGAGGTTACTATTTTATATTCAGGTTAATGATAAAGTAGTAAATTCAGTGGTAAATAAATCATAGCAATAGGCCTATTTACTGAGAACCTCCTCTCCTGTACAGAAAAACCACCTGTTATATGTACGTCTTAAAAGTCACTTTCTTGTCACTGGGACAAAATACACAATACAACTTAAAGGAGAAGAGCTTCTTTTGACTCACAATTTCAGTTGGTTCTTTTCATTACTGGCTGCCGCCAAGGCAGAAAGGGCATGGTGAAGGGTCCAGGAGAGGACACCTGCTCATATATGGAGACCAGGAAGCAGAAAGCAAAGGGAGGAGGGGGACAGGGAGCCACACCCTTCTAGATAAGGCCTCCAGTGACTCCCCTCTAACCAGGTCCACCTCCTAACACACTCAGATACTGAACTCATTAGTAGATATATCTGCTGAAGAGTATAGCACCCCCATGGAAAATCAGCTTCCAGAAGCCCTGCCTTGTGTGCATGAGAGTTTGGGGAGACATTCTGGATCTAAACCTTAACAATGTTTTTATTATCATTTCAGAGAAACAGTCATAGGCATACAGTAAGTTTAGTCACAGAATCAGGATTGCAGTGAAGGCTTACCTGATTTCACTTTCTCCACCTGACTAATGGTGTTCCTTATTAATCATTAGATAGGTCCATATATAAATTATTCATCATCAGGCAGGTTTTAAGTGCTTTATTAACACAATGCTAGAAATGAACTGAGTAGAACAAAGTATGTGGGTCTCCTATTCAAAGGCTCTTCAGTTGCCATACTTAGTATGAGAAATCCAAGTCAAACCATCAGGTGATAGTCAGAAGTTTGGAAAGCAGGTAGGGATGGAGAAGCAGTAAGTAAATTCTTTCATGAATCACTGTACAGATTTACGCTTGTTAAAGAGTTTTGTTTTTTTTCCCCTGAGGACCTAGTCTCTTTATCAAAGGAGTTTAGGTCTTTGTAAAAATTATAGCAATAAAAACAATAGCTTGCTATCTGTCCTTGCCAATCTAGAGAATGGAATAAAAAAGCTAGGCTGTTTGTGGTTGAATATACATTCGTTTATTAATACCTTCTCTAGCTTATGCTGAGTACAACTGAGCTTGTTTTTCTGGGAATCTATTTGTGAGTTAATATTTCATTGCACTACAGTTTGTTTTTAAAAAATGAATTGTTCAGTACAAATTAACATCTAGTTTAAATATATTTATCCTACCAAGAAAGTTTTTTAAGGACTGATTTTTTTTGCACAAATAATCTTTGTTTTATACACCATGCATAAAGAGATTGTCTCAATCTGAAAAATTCCCTTCTGTATCCTTCCTGTGTCTTCTGTAATAGAAAATTACTAGCAGAAACATTTCCCCTTTATCCACTTCCTATTTTCTTGCAACAGTTCTATCTCTCGACACCCCTGAGCTTTGTAAGGGAATTTTAAAGCAGTGGATTGCTAAAAGGTTGTCCTCTATCCAAAGCCACTACATTCAGTAGTAGGGTATCTGTGCTTTTTTTTTTTTTTCAGTTCCCTGTCCATTTCCTCTTCCACCTTTCTTGCTGCAGACAACGAATTAATACCGAAGTGTTTTTCCTCTAAACATTTTCAAGCCATACAAATTTAAGTCACGGTAGGCCTGAAAATTTCAGCTTCTTTCCCAGTGCCCTTTCTACCATGCTGGCTAGAACTGGAATGGAAATAGAGTGTTAAGCATTATTATTTTTTTATCCTACCTGTAGCATACCGTACTATTACCCTTTCTCTACTAATCACTTCTTACTGCTCTGCCATCCTTCCTGAATCTTCCTTTCAAAAAAGCTACCATTTAATTGAATTTATTATACTGTCCATTCCATACTATCAACCCTTCAGGGGTAGGTAGTAACACTAATGGTTAATATTTTCTTGCTTACTATACACCAAGCATTGTTTTAGGCATGTCTGAGCAACTCATCGAATCTGTGAGGCTAATCTTTTTCCTTTTTTAAAGGTAAGGAAGCGGATGTGCAGTGCCCTAGTTTATAATGCAGGTAACTGACAGAGCTACAATTTGAATCCATGCCTGTGTGGCTCTATAGTGGCCTTCACATAATCCATCCTACACTCTGTAATCATTATTTTCAGTCCCTTATCTGATGAACCTTTCCTATTTCATCTCTGTTCTTCTCATTCTTTCAGTTACCTTTTTGCTCCCCAATCTCCCGTGCTTGTTGGTCTCTTCATCCCACCGTCTACCCACGTTTCTCTCATTACCCTGCCTAAACTCTCATTTTCCTTGACTCTCCATTCCTGTGTCAACCATTTCCATGCCTTTAGATCCTTTAGTTTCTTTCTTCTCTTGAAATTCTAGAGTTCTTCTTATTATTTCTAGAATTTCTCTTCCTTTCTGGTCCTCGTCCTTCTCCTCAACACCGAAGACTCTTTTCCCTACAGCCCCAGCCCAATTCTCCGCCAGTCCAGAGTCCTCACCAGTGGCGGGTAAGAGCGGACCAACAGAGCCTGCGCGCCGCCAGCGTCGAGGGGCGCCGCGGGGTCTTGGGTTTCTGGGCAGCGACCGGCGCGGTGCAGTCTGGGCTAACATGGCCGCTTCCGGTCTCCTTCCCAGGCCGGCGCTGGCCTGACTTCGGCCCCTGCCTAGCGCACTTCGCACTCCGTCCTCAGCCCTCCTGCGCGGCAGCCTAAGAGGTCACTTCAGCCCTTCTCTCCGGCTGTCCCTGCCGCGTCATGGAGAAGAGCTCGAGCTGCGAGAGTCTTGGGTCCCAGCCCGTGGTGGTTCGACCGCCCAGCGTGGACTCCCTGTCCAGGTAACCAGGACGCCCGGGCCCCGCCCAGCGTCTGAGTGGGGTGGAGAAGGCCGGGGACCCGCTGGAGGTTGCCCCAACTCGCGGCTTCTGGTTCCTGCGGGCTGCGCCGAAGTTCCTTCCCCGGGACTTGGAAATCACCTCTTCTCCCTCTCGGGCATAGAGGGTGGGGAAAAGGTGGTTAAAACTAGCTGCTTCTTTATTGGCTCCTCTCCCTTTCTTATTTACTCACATTTCTCCCTGGTCTAGGTAGCCCCATTTCATTATTTTCTCCTTCATTCCCTCTCAAATCTTTAAAAAAAATTTTTTTTTTGGACAGCCCTTCCCCCACTCCTTTTTTTTTTTTTCATTTCCTGTCTGTCATTACCACTCTTTCTAAAAAAAAAACTCTTCAGTCTTTCTTCCATCATTTCTTAAATCTTTGATTTTGGGGTTCTTATCCAACCATTTCCTTTCGTTCTCATATCGTCACTTATCTCTTTCAGGCTTTCTCCTACACTTTGATTTTCTCCCCCGGTTTTGCCTAAAAATGTAAATAAATAATTTCCCTCTGCCCTGCTGTTCTAAATCTTCCAGCTGAAGGTTAGTATCAAAGAATCTGAGTAGTCTTTATCCCTACCAGTTAGTTTAAGAAAGCAAAATGAGTAGTAGTTTTCTTTCTTCTTGGGCGGCGGGTTCTCCAGGTTGCCGTTTCTCTTTTACCAGATGGGGGAAGACTTGATACACCTTTGCAGAAAGCTATGGTGAATATTACCTAGATATGTTTTGGATACAGTCCTTTTCTTTAGTTTTCAAATAGTCAAATAAAAATGTTATACAGCTACAATGAAAAACGGGTTATTTCCCACTAATATTAATTATTAGAGCTATTAGATACTAAATTGCTGTGTGAGAGGTCATAATTTTCATTTTTTCCTTGAATAATTACTGTCTTTAAAATTATTTTGTATTCTGCTAAATATTTTTTCCTGTAGGTGTTTAATACTTCTTTGATGAACCATTGACTGATCTCATCATTTTAAATTAGATTCTTTCCCTATATGCAGACATCACTCCTTGTTCATTCCTTTTTCAGAGTCCTTACACACACTCTTAATTGTTGGCTTAGTTGTCTTCTTTACTAGGTTATAAGCTACTTGAGGGCAAGGACGATATATCCTGATCATCCTCGTATTTACTTTACCATCATTTAACGTACATGGCTCATGTTACAGGAGCTTGGTCTTCGGAATTTGCACATTGAGTTATGCTGGACAGAATTTTTCTTTGCGTTTTATTATGTATATTGTACATTTATTTCAAGTATTTTTATTGTACAGAAGGGTGACATTTTAATGACAAATGTATCATTCTTTTTTTGTGTGAGTTGTGATTTTGTGTTCTAGTC